TGTGAAATGCTGCACACATAACTCATTAGCACGCTGGCCCAGCACTACCGAAGGTCTTCCACGTGCGATGACAGCATTATTTGGATGCGCATTCGTAATCAGCGCACCGAAATGTAAGAAACTGGTTTGTTGCCGACCACGACGCATAATTACGGTGGATCCAGTGTCGTCCAAACAACCGCCATCATCTGTGACATTGGTTAACCTTCGCTCTGTTACGCGACGAAAAATTTGCGACGTCGCAGACGTCGGGCCATTTATGAGCTTTCGAAGCCGTCGTAGAAACGATTCGAAGGGAAATGCGGAAAAGTTATCCATGGGTCCGAGGCGCCCGACATCCTGGCACATATGCACTAAACAGTGCACGTTGAAGACCACCTCCTTCTCACCGTACAGCTTCGCGATGTCACGCACCACCTTATTCAATACTGATTTCGCATGCGAAAGGTAATGTGAACACCACCTACGGCAGCACATAATGTATGCGGCGACGGATAACATAAAGAAATTATTGTACAGGTCTTCGGGCAACACGCCGCGCAAAACTACGGGGCCCAGGTATAAAAGAAACTGTCTGAATTCCGTGGCCTTCCAACGTTCCACGTCCTCAAACGTGCGACATTTGCGCGGAAAATCGCACGTCAGGTTAGCCGAACAAATGCGAAGGCGTTCATTGATAATGTCGATGGATTTTGATGGCAATCGTATGTTTCCACGTGTTGGGCCGCAACGCCAAAGCATTATTAACTTCCGTGTTACTCCCAGACACAAGGTGTGCATGTAATCAAGTGGGAAACAACTTATCATATCAATCCGTAGAGCCTCAAAAGGTGATTCGCCGATGTGATGTTCCGGTTGTTTTCGTGTTCTAAAATCCATGTCATTACGTAATGAGCTTTGGGGTTCGGTAGGGAAGGTCATTCTACCATCAACGTGCGAACCAGCAAATGTTTATCAAACTTTACGCTTCGCTTACCAGTTATTGTGCATTTCTCGCAGACGAAATATCCGGAATGTTGTTTCACCTGCCGAACATATGCTCGTGCAGGTGCATCGGCTATCACGCAGTCCAGCACGATATCTATAGCATCATCATTATCACCCAAGCAGACACCATTGCGTAACACATCATTCAATTCATCCACCACTGGCCGCAGGAACTCATGCACATTAATAGGTTTTGATAATCCACTGTAAAGACCAATTAAAAACACATCGCTTGGCGGATTTATCAGCCTTCCAAGTACTGGCCACAGTTGTCTGCGCGAGCTTTTGAACACGGTCATTCCGTCTATATGGATCTGCAACTTTAGCAATGACGGACGGGGTGAATGCGTTCTGCGCAACACGTCACGTATGGCGTCCTGCAAACCCATATGGTTGTAACTGCCACCTCTGATTAATCTCACTGGACACCGACGGGGTGTTTTCAAAATGCTACGAGCGTCAACCGGTAAGTTAGGATATAGGCGCCGAAGATTGCGCAAAAGGATGTTAATCTGGGTCAAAGTGAAGTTTCCGTCCAGAGCCACGTCACGCAGAATTTCCTCTAAGGTAACCGATTCCGCTGGACGCAAGAAATTGGTTGGACGGGCTAAAAGTGTACGTTTTATGAAACATTTGCATACGTATATTTAATAAAGAGGAAGCACAAGGCACATCCGATTCATATTTGTGATGAATGACTCCACCATTAGGGGATATTGCGTGCGTTAAAGGTTCCTGCACGGCATGGCGCGAAGAATGCACATCTTGTGCGGTAGGTCCAGTACTTATCATCTCCCGTGCAGCTGAAAATACATTCCGCGAAAAAAGCCCATACCTTGTAATGACATAACTGCTTGCACTTCTCTGTGTATATCATCTTCAACTCGTCGTATTCTACGATAAAAAGTTGTGTTAGAGCAACTTGAAAAGGCGTTCACAGGCTTCTTATCCATAGCCGAAAACGGATCAGCGAACTCGGCGAGACACAGAAGCGAAATGGTAATTACGCGCCAGTAGCACAGTAATAAAATGGTGCATTTAAACATAGAGTGGCAGGAGCATTATCGATCGTTATGAAGCAAAATAATAAAAACAATTTGCTGACTGTAAATATTAATATACTACGCCAACACGCATTTCCATAAATAAACATATATCAGGCTTGCGCGCCCTGCCTTGTTCTGGACAAAATGGAGCTTGAGAGGGTTTTGAGAGTAGGTACCAAATTGGTCGAGGGGTTACGGGGGCAATCGTACCCCGAGCGTCTACTTAGCTTGGGTATGTATTCAATGCACTACCGACGGCTTCGAGGAGACCTAATCCTTACTTACCGCATTTTAACAGGGAAGGTTGGGCCGGACTTGCGCTGGCTGTTTAGCCCGGCTAGGTTGCCTTGTCTTCGCGGTCATCCCATGAAGCTACACAAGCCGCGTTCTGACGGGATCAGGGCGGAAACTCGGTTATCGCGTAGAGTTATCGAGCGCTGGAACTCGCTTCCAGAAAATGTAGTCAGTGAACCTACGGTTAAGGGTTTCGAGCGTCAGTTAGACGCTCTTGGGTGGCAACACGAAACCTTTCCCTTCTCCTGACCATATCCATCTTCAAACTTTCAGTTCTTATTCTGTCATTATCTTCACTCTTTGGTGTTATCCTTCATTTTAATGACTTTCATTCCCCTTTATCTTTTCATTTAATTTCTACTTCTTTCTTACTTCACGTAACCTACACAGCGCGGACTGCTAGTGCAGGGAACGTGGGCAGTAGTTGGTTGATCAGGGTGTGTTTCGGGTGTTTCGTTTTAGATCTATCAAGAACTAACACCTTATCATTTCCTGGCTCAACGATTTGCTCAAGAAGGAACACTCAAGGGATTTTCCTATCGTTCCAGTCCATCTGAATCTGAATCTGAATCTGAATCATGATCGCCCGATGAGTGTCCCCATCCGTGCGCTGGAGTGACCGATGGGGCTGACAGGGCGTGTGAAACTATTAAAACACCTATATATGTCACCACATACGGCATTATATATTACCTATTTATTAAGCTGCCTTTTTCATAACCCGCGCGAAGCCTTTCAAGTAAAATACTATCTTTCGTTTGATACGTACATTTTCTGTGCCGTAATCGTTAACATCACCATATATCTCTTGCCTTCGAACCCTTTCGGAAGATTTAATTCCTTTAAAACATAGCGCAGGTACTACTGCTACCATATATCAGTGTCACCTCTCACTATTTCTTCCCTTTCAGATTACATCACCATTTCACTACGCAGCGACGGTGGCTGTCATGGCAACCAGGATTTCGTATTTTCTGACTACCTCCTTCGACCTTCGGTCGTCCATTTTAACCCATACATGCTTTAACGTTTAACATCACATTATGGCATTAATGATCGTCCATTAGTAATTCTCTTTTATTGTCCACACGCGGACGTATGTTCATATTACTCCTCTTAGTTCCAAGGGCAGTTCAGTGGTGTAGTGGTTATCACGTCCGCCTCACACACGGAAGGTCCCCGGTTCGAGCCCGGGTTCAAGTTCAATTGGGACCGGAACAGTAGGAAAATCCCGCGAATGTTCCACCTTCGAAAACATCGTTGATCCAACAGGGAAACCGGTGCCTTGATGTGCCAAAGGAGAGCCAAAGCAACACACACGATTCATATGGTCAACCAAACAATGCCCACGTGCCCTGCACTAGCAGTCCCCGCTGTGCCGGCCACGTGAAGAATAAAAGAAAACATTAGTGTCAGTAAAGAAAAGAAAACAGAGGAGAAGACAAGCTAATCGAATATCGTAGGCAATATTAAGATGTAAGTTAAAATGAGTTAAAGAAGCGTAAGCCGTAATAGACGAAGAAAAGTTTAAGACACGAAGCGGAAGACTTTAAACTGCAGACCGAGAGCGTCAAGTCGATGCTCGAACTCTTTCAACGTCGGTGCCATCACGACGTCTGCAGGCAATGTGTTCCAATAAGCTATAACCCTACGCGATAATCTAAAGTTGCCAAAACCCGGTCAGACCGGGGTTTGTGCAACTTTAATGGGTGACCACGAAGGGTTGGCATTCGAGTTGGGCGAAACAGTCCAGTCAAATCAGGACCAATCTGACCCATCAATATACGATATGTAAGGACCAAGTCGCCCCGAAGCCGCCTGTAATACATGGAAAAAATATCCAACTTACGTAGCCTCTCCAGGTACGTCAGCTTCTTTAAGTCGTACACCATTTTCGTCCCGGACCGCAGGACTCGTTCAACTGCCATCTTATCACGAACCAGGCATGGAGGACAAGCCTGGACGCAGTATTCCAAGTGCGGCCTTACAAAAGCCGAAAATAGTCTAACAAACATGTCGGTGGTCATGATCCCGAATGACCTGCGGATCATCCACAACATGTTGAAGCCTTTACGAGCAGCTGTCTTCCAGTGTTCACTGGACTTGAAGTCAGATGACAGCAAAACACCGAGGTCAGATTGGAGTTGAACTCGCGGTACCTCGTTGCCGCCAAGCAAATAACGCGTCGGCGGGTCATTCGGACCCACGCGTAGAACGGAACATTTCCCTAAATTAACTGGCAACTGCCACAAAATTGACCAGTGCCAAAGTCTATCCAGAGCCCCCTGTAGGGTCAGTGGACCAATCGGCTCGTCTATCGTGAACCAGAATTTTAAATCATCCGCAAACATTAGGGATGGCACACCCAATTCATCAGGTAGGTCATTAACGTATAAAGTGAAGAGAAGGGGGCCAAGAACCGAACCTTGCGGCACGCCACTGAGAACACATTGGCGGAAGGACAAGCTTGTACCCACCCGCACACACATTTCCCTTCCGATTAGGAAAGCTGAAATCCATCGTAAGACTGGTCCAGAAATACCAAAGGAATTCAGCTTGTACAAAAGGCGCGAATGTGGAACGGCGTCAAAAGCTTTGGAAAAGTCAATAAACAGCACGTCCACTGCCTTCCCGCAATCAACGGCTTCGGCCCAGTGTTCACGAGCCGTTAACAAGTTAGTAAGGCAAGAATAGCCCTTACGAAAACCGTGCTGAGAAGGATTAAGCAACTCAAACGCTTTCAAATGTCCTTCGAGAGCGTCCCTCACGAGCTTTTCCAATAACTTGACCAGCACGCTCGTTAAACTGACCGGTCTATAGTTATCAGGGAGGTGCTTATCACCTTTCTTAAAAATGGGGCAAACAATAGCCTCCTTCCAGTCCTTGGGTAGAGAGCAGCCTCGTAGAGACTTCACAAAAAGATGCGTAATCGGAGAGCAAAGTTGATCAGCCAACTCGTACAACAGTTTGGGATGAAGAGCATCTCCACCGGCAGCTTTATTGGGATTTAATTGCCTCAGAAGCCGGAGCACTTGAGCCTCGGTTATAGAAACCTCCTCCAAGTGGCAGCCCTCAGGAACTTTTGCCTGGAGACTGATATGCGGCGGCTGTGACTCTCTAACATAAACCCCAGCATACTGTTCTCCGAGCAAACAAGCTTTTTCGTGATCCGTGACAACAGCAGTGCCGTCCGGGCCAAACAACACTGGGATGCACGAATTCATGTTGCTTCGCCTTTTGACATAGGCGAAGAAGCGTTTCGGGTTTGATGAGGCTATACGAGCAAGCTCTACTTCATGCTGTAGACGAGCACCACGTAGATACTGCCTGCAGGCATTTCGAACCTCACGATATCGCTTGAAGGTGCATAATGAAGGAGCAGATAAGTAAGTACGCCAACATCTGGCACGTCTGTTAAGTTGTTTGCGTACAGCAGAATCAAACCAGGGTGGCTTTGCCCTAGTTTTATTCCTGCCAGATAGTGGTATATGGGGGAGAGAGAGCTCACTCAAGTATGATTTAAAGCTATCCCAGGCCGTTTGAATGTCGTCACTTTCCAAAATGACACAAGGCGAGTTTGCGGCCTTGGCTTTCATTGTCTGAAAGTCTGCGCGCCATATATTTGGTACTCGGTCGGGATGATCATTCGTCTGACGACGAATGGCGCACTTAAATGAGAGACATGCGTGGTCGCTAGCACCGAAAGGCGAGTTGTATACAATATCGGTGACAAAATCAATGGATTTAGCGAAGATCAAGTCCAAGAGGGACGGGTTTTGACCCATCATGAATCTAGTAGGCCGATCGACAAACTGGTGCAGGGAAGCATGCAAGGCCAGCTCGAGAAGCTCGGTAGCCAAACACCTTGTAACAGCGTCGCAGGAAAAATTCTGCCAGTCAACGTCGGGAAGATTGAAGTCCCCCATCACTAAACACCTATTTGCCGAATGCTCGCGGATGAAGTCAGCAAGCCCCTTAGCAACGCTGTCGGGGCTTCTGTAGACCAGCACAATTTTAAGTTGCGCGGAGGCAATACACAGGTTAACTGCGAGTGCCTCAACATCACCCTCTGATGATCTGAAACTATACGTCTTACAGACAGTAAGTGCGGAGTTTACGTACAAAACAACACCACCTCCGCGTCGATCAGAGGTGCGGTCACATCTCAGCAGTGCGTAGCCTGGCAAGCACACTTCACTGTCCGTGACGTCGGTGGACAACCACGTTTCAGTGAATGCGAGGACATCTGGACGGCAGTCGTCGACAAGAGCGCCGACTTCGCCCAGCTTGTTTCGCAGGCTACGCACATTGCTTAAGATCACCTGAAGGGATTTAACATTGTGAGTCCGGGATCGTGCGCCACCAGAACCGGCTCTGGTAGGGCGGAAGTGGACCGCTAAGGAGTGTGTAACAACTCACCTGCCGAATCAACCAGCCCTGAAAATGGATGGCGCTGGAGCGTTGAACCTATACCGTACCGTCACTGCAAGCTGAGTCGATGGCGTGTGGCGTGGGTTGATACCCA